AGTAGAATGGAGTAAGCAGCATAGAAATTTGTGCAAATTCAGATTTTCTGGGAGCAGTGATACTTCATTTAGTGCTTTTAATTAGTTGAGGTAGAAAAAAGTTGGTAAATTGGCCCCATATGATTGACCTAATTGTTGAAAAGGGGGCAAGACTAACCCTGAAAAATGAGTAGCAGTTCCATTATTTCCTATTACTTGCAATGTTGAACGTATACTAGAACTCCAGGAGTGCCTATAGCAATCTGTGTCACTGGGAAAATTTCAAGCTTTGCATCTATGTTAGAAAAATACCAAATTCATAGATGATCCATTACATACAATTGCTGGTCAGGAAACCTGATCTGTCAGTTCTTCCCAAAATAATTCAAAGGAAAAGTCACCAGTTTCTGAATTCGACTTTTTTGGAGGCTATCCACATCAATGATCTTTCTATTGTAGTTAATTAGGTAAATTCAGATATTCATTTTAAAGTGTGTTAATCTTAATTACTTATGCATTTTCCTCTTGTCAGTTCTTGACATTTGACTAGAAATTTTTTGAAGCTTTTTGTGGGTTCTTACATGTGCATATGTTTCATTCTTATTTTTCATTTTCACTTGAAGAAGAATATTATGTTTGGCCTTAAAAACTCTAGCTTAGCACATAGTACCTATTTTATGCTAGTTCTTATTGCCAGTGTTTTATTTTCTTAAGCATAATTGAAGTCTGTATTGAGATATAAAATGATGTCTTGTTGAAATGTCAAACTGAGCTTTATGAAATAAGTGTACCGGAAATTATAATATTTACGAAATATTTATTATATGCATGTTATTGAATGTTTTCAGCAGAAAATTGTGGATTTACTTTTGTTTCTTTTTGTCTTCAGAGCATGTCTTTCATTAAGAAAAGTCTTTGACCTGATTTTTTGAATTTTTCTTTATGAAATTTAATCTTGCTCCACAATTTAAGTTTAGAAATTTGTATTACAAATTCTGTAAATTAAAAACTATTACTTTAAGTAGTAAATTAAAAACTATTACTTTACTATCTGACTTTTAAGTAGTAAGAAACTGTTTTGTTTCTTAAAATTTAGTTAAGAGGCTGTTAGTGTCACACTTGGTAAAATTAGTATTATCTTATTTTTTTATTTGTTGAACATTTCGTTTTTAAAAGAATTTTACACTTTTTAGGTTATGCTAATTTATCTGCATCCACTTTCTCCAAATTAAGTTTATTTGGGGGGGCACACAGGCAATTACTCATTTGATGGGAATAAAATCAAATCACTAGTGATGTACATGCCAGAATGGGCATACACCAGTTTAGATCATATTAGTGATTACTGTTTTTAAAGATCACAAAAGAATCCTACTCAGAAAGTGGAATCTTTTCTCACTGCATGCAAACCGACTTCATCCTTGAAAATTTTTTCATGCTGTAGATCAATATGTATAAGTAATTCAATTTAAAGTTGTTCTAGTTCTCCTAAAAATACAAAGTGCTCCTTTAAGAAGAGTTGATATCTAACATTTTGTGTTATTGTTGAAAATGATTGCCAGCTAAGAAAGGAGGAAAAACTAATGGCATTTTTGCATAACACTTGAGGTGAGATAATGCATATGATAGAAAGTGTTGACTTGGGTAGCCTTTAAAATGTTAAGTTTCAACTTAAACTGGCATGTCAGCTTCATAACAGATACACAAGGGGAGGCTGGTTTAGTACCATGCTGGAATAACACTGCTTTTGAATTATTGTTATGGTGATAAAAAATTCTTTGCAGTTTGTTACAGTGGTTTCATCTTTTTCTAACCTTATGCAAGGATATGAACATGTACTGTCAAATTTTGGTTGAAATACTTATACATTGTGGGAAAAAAAATTATTTTAAGCTATAACTTTTTCAATTTGATGAGAAGCATTAATTTTATTGCTTTTTGGATCTGCTCACAAAGAGTTATATTTGCACAGCATTTATTATAATCCCTTAAGGACCAGCGTGCAGAAAACGAAGCACAGTCACAGGACTGGGTGCATTGAAATGGATTGTCGCCACTGGCCTGCACATTTTCAGCAGTTAAGCCTAATTTTATAAAAAGAATCATATAAAATCAGCATTTTGATAGTATAACTTCAATTTTTGAAGTTGCGTATTTAATGTACTTGTTTTTAATGTGTATTAATATAAAGAATATCATATTAAAAGATATAAATTAAACAGGCAAAATACTAAAATCATAACTTAACACACAGAAATAAATACTATAAACATGAAAAAAATTACAAATATGAAATTTAAAAAAATAAATAAGATTAACCTGCAGGTAAATAAATATGAATTTAAAAATTCTGCTGTGTGTGAAATAATTCAAAACAAGGATCGACACAGTCCTACATTGCATATTTTGCACTCAAAATATGTTGTTTGCTTTCGCTTTTCCTTGGTTTTAGCACACACAATGCATCTTCTCGTACCTTTATTACCTTTTCTGTCGAACATAAATTTTCGGAAAATGTCTTCCAGTTAGACGGAAAGGTGGAGTGTTCAGTGATTTTGGACAAATTTTTAAGTTTTTAAGTAAGGTCTCTTAGCCATGGCTAACGGAATGAAACTGAATATATAACCCCAACACATGTCTAAAAACTTCTTCAAAAGACACCTAGAAATATTTCATCCTCAAACCATGTGTAACACCAGGTTTATATTAGAAAACTTCGTGTTTTACTAAATCGAAAAACGGTGTCCGTGACAATGACTGAAAAGTGATCAAGGAAAGACCCCACATCGGCGGGATATCCGTTACTGATCACATCAATATATACATTATATGTAAATACATAATGCCTGTGTTATTATGTATAATGATCATTCAAGGCATTATATATAATCACCTATTAAATCGAGTAAGTAAAACACAAACGCTGGCTCTTTCCTGAGAAATGCGAACGACTAAGACGCATTACGCGTTGAGAAAAACTGATGGTCTTTCCCCTTCTGTAATAATGCTGTAATGTTACTTTTTAATTAACCAACAAAGCTTATGTTAAATTTTTAAAGTAAATGGAAAAATAACAACTGGTCTTGAGTTTTTCCATCATGGATGTTCGGTGATGTTACACCTGCTATATTCAGATAAATGCACTTTCCTAACACACACACACACACAAAAAAAAAAAAAAAAAAAAAAAAAAGCAAGTAACATAAACGAAAACAAGGATCTGGATGCACTTACCCACATTGTAATAACGAAAAGAAAAAACAAAGAACAAAAAGCGGGGGAAAAAGTTCTAACGAAATAAAAAAACACCTGTGACCCTTTAATTCACAGGCGCACTTGCAAATAGCCGTGATTCCCTTGTTTATACCAATAAATCTATCAAAACCAGAAGCACAAAACAGAAACTAATGCCAGTGCATGAAGGTCAAATGCCGTATGAATCAGCCCATGTGAAAACAGTTACCATTTAGCTCCATCTACTGGCTTTTAAAAATTCAAATAAATTGTTCCGTTTTAAATTTAGATATATGTGATGCTGGGTTGGTAGGAGTAGAATCGTTGCGTCGCTGGACTGGTAGGGGTGGAATCGTTTCGTCGCATATACGGGAAGCAGGTCCCGAACGGGTTAACTAAATTTTTATATATACTTACTTTGCTTTTTGTTTTTATAACTAATGATATCTAACTTAAACTTGTGAACTTAATAATTGATGCACAATGGGAGCCTGGTTTTGTGCAATGCCGGAAGGGTGTTGCTGTTGAACTATTAATGGTAATAAAATATTATTTACAGTTATTATAGTGATTTGATTTGTTCTTCATATATACAATATTATGAACATTCACTGTGAAATTCTGGTTGAAACATATATATTGTGGGAAAAGTAATTATTTTAAGCTGTAATTGTTTTCAGTTTGATGGGAAGTATTAATTTTATTGCCATTTGGATCTGCTCATGAAGAGCTATATTTGCCAACCATCTACTAACTAATTTTTATATTAGTCTTATTTTGCTGTTCGTTCTTATAATTGATGGATATCTAGATCATTTTTAAAAAATATGATCCGTAAGAAATAGCAGAAATTTTGATGACTGGATAAGCGAGCTAGCTGCTGAGAGTTCATGTAGTATCATATTAGATTTTTGCAAATTTTTATCATTTTCTTAGGGATATTTATTCCTTTTTTGTCATTATGAAAATGTAGAAGTTCATGTTTTGTTGTTTTTCACGTACAAGAAATCAATATTCTTAACATGAGTAACTATTTCTTGTGTAGAGAAGTTCTCTGGGAAAAATCGTATATTTTTCAACAATAAAATCTGCATGTTATTTCAAAAGTGTAATTTATTAAATAAACAATTTTTGGGTTGGGCTGTGATGTGACATAGTCTAAATGAATTATAGTGGCTTACATGTGTTCTGAAAGTATTTCATCAGCTTTTACATTAACATTAAAATTTTTCTTAAAATTTCATTATGCACTTTAAATTTTGTTACATACCTGCTTAAGAAATATTTGCTTCTTAAGTTCAAATGTTTCTTTTGTATCTGATCTTGTCTCATCTGCAAAGCTTTTGCATCTTTAACTGTGGATTTTAATAAATAAATAAATATTGTTTTTACAAAATAGAAGTTTGTACATGGGCTTGAATAAAGCAGTGTGTAAAAAAATCAACAGGACTGTTTTGTAGGGTTCTGATTGCATTGCCTTTATTTTAAGGCTTTTCATTTTTAATCCTTCTCTTTTTCTTTCCTCCCACCCACCAGTTGCAGTTAACATTTTATGTGTTTCTTATTTCTACTGAAAATAAATGCTGAATTCTTATAGTTACATATGTTTGTGTTACTGTTTGTTATGCATGCAGTGTATTGTGTGCAGTCTTATCTTGTTTTTCATTTGCTCGCCATGCATGTTGGTAAAAAATTTGCATTTCATTTTTGTATATGCGATGTATTCTGCGTTTCTACACTATATTTTCAACTTTTACATTTGTCTTCTACATGCATGTATATGCCAGGACCAAAACGGTCCACACTCCAGGCAATGCTTGTTCGTTTAGCCAATGGAAGTACTGATGGAGATCGCATTAACTTGGATGATCTGTCAGGAGCATCTGTTGCAACTGGGGTCATAGATGCCAAGTCAGATGTCATCTGTGATGCAAATGTTAGTGGCAGTAATTCATTTGGGGAAGATCTCAGTTCCTTAGCTGGTTTAGGACCAAGCTTGAGTTCATTTTTGAATATTGGAGCACCGTGCAGCAATGTCCAAGGTCATGCTGATGAAAATGGTATGTTCTTATAATGGCCTTGTTAAAAAAAAGACCATGAAAACCACTTAATTTGAATTCACTGATTGCAAAAATGCATCATGATAGGAGAAAATATTCATATTATTGGGGTGTTAATGTGAATTAATGCTTTCTTCTATAAATTAGTTTTAACTGCAATAACCCTGCTATTTATTACTATTTATGGACATGCTTTGGGTAACTGATTTCCTTCTCAGACCTAACTTTCAATTTGAAATAAAATATTTATTTTACTAACATGTATTAGATTCTAGTTCTAAATTTTAATTTTCACCTTTCTCAATAATCATTCATCTGTGCTCGTGAAAGAGAAGTTGCACTACCTCATTTACCTTCTTATCTGCTGTTATATAGATATGCACACAGATGTGCTCTATGTGAAATATTTTAAGTGAATTTTTATGTATTTTAATGCTATTAATTTTATGTTAATGCATTATGAGTGCAAAATTTCATACTTCAATATCAGCTTGTTGTGGATATAAAACATTTATTCCTTGAATTTTGTTTACTCTAAATTATTTGCATATTGAATAAATTGCTTTAGTTCTTCATATCGTAATTCCCATAATATTTCTGATATAATAATAAATTTTGCAAGTTTTTGCTTTATACTAAAGAACAATGCTTCTGTAGGTGTACAAGGTGGTACTTCTCTTCCATTTCCTCCTGGATCTCGTAGACCGCTGCTAGGTAATGAAGATGATCCTTTAGAAGCTGCTTTGGGTCTCGGGGAGTTAGCAAGTTTGACGGTTAATAATGAAGCAGATACTAGTTACGATGTTAGTAACATTTTGTATCATTGTTTTAATATTTATCATATTCATGCATATTCTGACACAAATGCAAATTGAACTCTTAGTCATTGAGCATAATCCTTTTTTGTAGAATCTCTGAATTTATTCTAAATGATTATTATGTGATAAAATATGATTAAGATTTAAAAATAAATATTAACTTCATATTTATAAGAAATTATCAATAATTTATCCTGTTAATTGTCAATGCATTTGTTAGATATGTTGCTTCAATTCATTATGCAAAGAGAATTCTGTAAACTTTTATTAAACATCATAGAATGTTTAAAATAAATGAAACACGATTGACATTTATCAGACTAACTATATTTATTCAGACTAAAGCATTTATTATTGTTAATCTGAAAATATTGGCTTTTTTGGGGGTATTACATAACAGTGTAACCCCTTAATGCTGTTGCGCGATTTTTACCGTAGAAAAAGAATGACTTGCATGTGAAAAAAAAAAAAATTACTAATTAAATGTATACTATTACAGTACAATGTCCAACACCAAAGTAAGGCCACTGTTTTGCCTAATTTTGAAATCGACTTTTATAAAGCCTGAAATGCACGAATGCTATAGTAAGAAAAAAGTTCCAAATATACTTTTGTGTTTCAATATAATAGAAAAATTTAAATTATAATATTATCAAGATAGCTGTAATAATGATAACCTGCAAATAATAATAAACTAGGGCAAATTAGAAAGTTAGGAAAGAGCCCAATTTTGAAACCTACGTTCTTTTGAATCTAATTCTTTCTCTCTTCCCATCTAATATGCCAACAAAAGAAATCCATTATCAGCAATATCACACTTCAGACAGGTATGTCTTGGGGCTTTTACTTACCATTTAGGTAAGTTAAGGAAATGTTAACCTCCCCTCCACAACCATTCAAAGTCCAAAAACCATGGTTTGCGGCTAACGACAATCAATGTATTGTCATTTGCCACAGTGTGATTCTCTAGTCAGTAGGGTTTGAAATTGAAATTCAGGAATTTCTTAGTCGAAAGAGAAATTGCTTTAACTGCAGGTCTGTTTTTTTTTTAGTATTGTGTTCTTCATTCTTAGACTGTTAAAAAACTCTCAGTTTTTTGGGGGGATTTCGAGTTTTGGATATTGGAACATTCCAGTTATTAGGTATTCAGATTTCGAATATTGAAATGTATTATACACATATTTTGAATTTTAATATGATTAGTCTTAATAATCACTCAGTGCAATTGTTTCCTTTAGCAATTTTGGGACAACATAAAGTGTTTCTGCAGAAATTTTATTAGAATTGTTTAAGATGAAAAATACCTTGCTTTATGTATAAAAACTTGGAATAAAATGAAAAGAAAATGCATAGAAAAATGGTAGTGTTGCTTTTAAAATTGATGAATTATGCACATGGTTTCTGGAGTAGGTATATTTTGAAAATTTTAGCAATTTCTGTGAATTTGGTTGCATTAACACATAAATACCTCTTTATTTCCTATTGCACACCATCCATATTTACTATATGTCGGGTAAAAGAAGCTAATTTTGTCTTTCCATTTATTTTATGTTATTCCAACGAAAATTATGCTGTTAAAAATGTATCATTCTGTACCATCTAGAAAAATATGAAATTTGAATCCTTGAGTATAAAAAATCTTGTACCTAAACATAGTTTTTATCTGAAAGCCCAAAAATGACAGTTTTGCTGCAGATTGTAAGATAGAATGCCTTGCATAAAGAAAGTTATTATAATGTCTGCATAATTATTTAGTCTGTTTTTATAAAGGATGCACTTGTTTAGGGTAAGCAGTGATTAACAAAATAAGCAAAGAGTATTATTTAATTGCTTTTCTATTAATGTTAGTAAGCTGCATATTTTCTAAAGTCATGACTTGTTATTGAAATATTTGCCAAATAGTAAGTGGTGACATGTTTCCATGCATAACTGAATATGTGATAACATAATAATGCTTGCCAGTAAACATATTGTTTTAACCTAAATTAAATAGCATTCAAAATCCTATAGTTTGGTTTTAGTGTTACTTACTGAAAATGAGCGACGAAATAAATTAACTGCGAACTTTATTTAAAATGGCTTTGAAAGAAGAATGAGCTGACTAGATATTTGGATTTTATCTGGATATGTAAGTGTTAGAAACGGTGCTGGATATGAAGTATGGAAAAATAATGCCAGGCATAATTAAATTTTTTCTTGTGAAGTAGGCATTTTCAACATTTTTGGTCATTTTGACACTGAAGCACATTTATCATTTTGCATTTCAAAATTTTTATGCGCATTTTTATAATTTTACATGAAGAATGCATAACAAAGTCTGTGTGTTTTAATTCAAAAAATTTTATCACGTGTCATTTTGATGCTTAGCAGAATTCAGATGCATTTCTGTTCATCAGATTTCAGGTCCATCAATTCTTACTTTCCTAACTTCAGTCTATCATGTCCCTTTGTTGTAAATTTCTTTAAGTGTAAAATTTTGCCCATTAGTGAATTTAAGGACGTATTGTATATCATACTGCCTAAATTATGAAATAAATCTGCTTTTAAAGCTCATTAAGTGTCATATTAATAACATAAACTAACATTTATTCAGCATGTTAATTCTTCTGTTGACCCTTTAACTGCCACGGAAAACGCATAAGATCCATTTCCCAGTGCCACAGTTTTTCACACAGGCGCGCGTAGTTATGCGATTTATTAGGGGGGAAATAAGTGCAAGTTTTACTTTCCAAAAACTGTTTATTTTCACAAAATAAAGAATAAAAGAAAAAATGAATACACAAAACTTAATGTTTTCAGTAAAAGTATAATAAAAATGATGTTTTTATAATAAAAAAGATCCCTAAAATGGAGTTTCGATCAATTCATTTTTAGACAGTAAAGTGTAATATCAGGTTTCAGCGTTATACCTTGTGAAATCAGTAAACCTAGAAAAAACATATATTTCTTCTGAATTGGTTGAATGCCACGATTTTGTTCTTGATTTTTCATTTGCAAGGTGTTGGTTCATATACTTGTCAGCAATACAGTTAATTTCAATAACAATATGAAGCACGAGCAGTTCATCAAAAAATAATTCAAATAAGATAAATGGGTTTGAAACATCCGTTATACCTTTCTTTATTCCTGGAACCTACTACAAAAAGTAAATGAAAACGAAGGACACAGAATAAAAAAATACGTTTCACTCAAATAAAATGAGCCAATACCGCGCAGTCATTACTTTCACCGCTTTAGATAATTCCCTCTCTTCAATTTCTCCCTACACTTCTCTGAAATAGTATCCTCCTTTGCATATTTTGTCAAGGTCATTGTGATATTGCATTCCAAAGCTCTGCGAATAATTTTATGGGTAGCACGGCAAAGCAAATGATAGCATTTTGGAAGGGCGTATATATACGCCCAGAGCAGTTAACGCACCGGCTGAGCAAGGCATATATATACGCCCGCGGCAGTTAAGGGGTTAATAAATAGAACTACAATAATAAACTGAACAGGTTTTCAAATCAAACATCACCTAGTAAGAACTATAGGCAGCCTATATGTAAAATAAATAAATAATTTACTATCAAACCATTCAACACTAGCTTTAAATGCATTATGTGGATCAAGGATGCCAGCTTCTTGTTGTAAATTTTTGTGTATTGCAAAAACTTAACCTTGAAAATCAGGAAACTTATTGGTATCCTGTATCAGATCTTCAGTTCATTGAGACAACAATTTCTTCATCTCAGAAATTTGCCCCAGCTTCTTGTATAGTGTTAATGCATCTATCATGGTTTCAACAATACACACCTTCCTTTCACTATTGTATTATTGTAAATACAGATTGTTGCCCAGCTGATAAAATGTTTAGTGATGCTGACTGCTGTGCCAATGAGCTCAGGTTTGAATACTGGAGAAAAATGTTCATAAGTATATAGTATCTATGTGGCAAAGGCACACACAAGGGAGCTCTTATTGAGCCAGGTCAAGGACTATACCTGTAGAGTCAACCCAGTGGTGAAACTCTGGTGTTCTGCCCACTTCTGCCTGCATCTATCAGAATAGACTGATATCCTTGACAAGTGTTGATAGTTTTCCTGCTTTCAGATGTATTAATTATTTTCAATTCCCTCCCTTGCAGACCTTTATTTTTTGGATTTATTATATGTGCATAGATAGTTAAAATAGATTTAGAACATAAATTAACAAACACTAATATGGTAAATAAGTGATTAAACTAACTGCATGAACATTGTTTGAATGCAAGATAGGCATTATTAGGCTAGAGTTAAGAGGAATTGTTGTATGAAGTCCTTATTTTTGATTTAGTCTAAATGTAACAGCTTTTCCACACTTATGTAATTGCAAATTAATGTAAGTTATGTATTGCATAAATTTTAGGTTCTGCTTTTGAAAATGCCAGATACTTTGCAAATGACATTTCTGATTTATTACAGGCCCGCATTAGAAACCGGTACTTTTAAGCAAAATTGAAAACACCAGTTACTAAAACTATTGCATTCAAATTATGTAATTGGTTATAATGATAATATAAAAATTGAAGTATATCAGTACAAGAAGATTTTTTAATATATGGAAAATATAAAATTTTATATCTGCAAAAATGCAACAAATAAAAAGTGCCTTTTCTGCAGAAGAATGATATTTGTTAATGCAATATTTGTATATTATAATTTAGGTTTATTAAAGTTAGCATTGCAAAGTGAGAATTTTCATTTTTGTTTTGGAATTTCTGTTATCTGTTCTGAATGTTAAATTTTCTTTAACTTCAGATAATAGAAATTTGGCTTAGCATATTTTTCCATAACATAAAATAGCAGTTTTTGATCAAAGTATTTTAAAATAAAGTTTAATTCGACTAAAATTATCTAACTTTATAATTTTCCCTTCTGTTTTTATTTATCTCAACCATGACAGGGTTCGTAGCGGTCCTTACAAGTGCTTATAAGTCCTTATAAGCACTTGTAAGTTTGCAGCTAACGTTTGCAGTATTTTGCAGAGATAATTAATTTTAATGTTCAGTTTGAGATTAGTTTAGGAACACTTAAAAGAGTTTTACTGTGCTTTCTAAGCAGAATATTTCTCAGTTCCATTGGTCTATTTTTATATGATGCACATATCGAAATGTCAAAATCATTTATTTAGCCGAGAAATCTAAAGAACGGCTACAATCTCCCCCACTCCTCTTTTTTCAGTTACTATCCGGAATATTCGGCAATTTCCGAGTATGCAAATTAGTTAAGCTTTTACTGTTAAAGGATGACTGCATGAAGCAATTTCCCGTCTTATGATTTCAGAAATGTGCCTCTTTTTTACTTAAATTACTTGGAATATATGTTAAGGGAAAACTGTTATGCAATGAAAATTTAGAAAATGTTCAGAATTTTGATTTAAGTTAAATTATTTAAATATTAATATGAGTGGAAAAATAAATTGTATTTATTATTAGGTGCCAAACAAATACAATTAATATAGCTTATTATTATTTATTTTCTATATTTTGAACTGAAATTTCATCATTAAATCTTGTAATATAGTTTAGTTCTTCATATTTTTTTTCTCTCATTGTAAACTAATTCTGTAAATTGAACTGTCATTTAAAATTTTAAAAAAAAAAAAAGTTAATTGTTTTCCATGGTTGAGGAAATGCTCATTCTCTTAATAAATATTGCATTGCTCATATTTTAAATTACAAGTCTAATTTTTCTTTTAAGGTTATGCAGTTGTGTATAATGTAATTAGACAGGTGCTTATTTTTTTAACTAAAATGTTGCTACGAACCCTGCATGAATTTTTGTGCTTAATTCACGTTTTACTAGAAATCCAGATTTTTGATCAAACAGCAGTGTCTTACTTCCACTTTTGGATTGAATGAAGATTTTTTAATCACTGCAGTTTACATTGTCATGTTATAAAGTTAACATTGTAATTTGATGTCAGGTCCAATATCTGAAATATTCAGTCATTTGTTTTTACTACATAATAGTTTAAATTCATTACATTCTAAAGTGATCAAAATGATTTTTACGACAATTTGTTTATTAAATGTATATACTTTTATTTATTAGATATCTTCAGCTAAAGAGGCATTTAGGAAGACATGGAATGCAAAATATACTCTTCGAAGGTTTGTATATATTGATATGTTTATGATAATTTTTATACAGTATGCAGTGCGTTGTATATGTTTTACAGTTGCTGTAATGTAATGTCTTTAGCCCCCTTCAGCATATGAATCATTTATTCAAGTTCTATTTTTGTCATGTCTTAAAACATTTAAATTTAAACAATTTCCGCTATTTTCCAATTACACTTAGCACATTGCGTTGTAAAGTTCGTGCACTTCGGCATAAAGCCCAATCTACTACTGATCTTGATCTTAGATGTACCCGTCTCTTAGCTTTCAAACGTGCACACGCAACTGCTGTGCATGTATATAAATGTATGGTTTTACCAAATGTATTTTCCTGTAATTTGCTGCTAGCTGTATAACGATGCAAACATTTGAAATACAGCAAACTGACCTTAAACACGAGTGCCCAGGATGTACACATTTCATAGAAGAGGGAGAAATGTTAATGAGAGGGTAAAAGTTCAAAACAGTATAGTAATAATAAATTTGATGAAAATTCACATACAGTTGCAGAACTTGAAAAAATACTGCCAGTTTTTTCCTAACTTGATGACAAAATTGTCAAGTGTTTATAAACCGAAAAATAATCTCAGCATTGACAAGAGTTTGATGTTATTCAAAGGCAGACTGTCATAGGTAAATTATGTACCTTTGAAAAGAGCTTGCTTTGGAGTAAAACTGTTTACTTGCTGAAGCAGAGTTATGGTATCTTTACAGTATGAGTATGTCTACACGAGAGTACAGCATTTGATAAAAATTTGAGAATTGTGAACCTGCTACAAAATTAGTGATGACACTCATGGACCATTTTTTGATAAAAGGTTAATGTGTGATTGCTGTGGTTTATCGTATAATTGCTAGAATTTTTATCTGTCCCTGGAATCATCAGAATTTGGAAGTCAAAAGAAAGCTGGTGTATTTGAAACACTGTCCTAATTGGCATGAGAGAGTTTCAACCAGAGAGCTTCAACAAACTTACTTTGAAAAGGCATAATTGCCATTTTCCAGCATGGCAAAATAACTGTGTTGAGATGGTGTGATGAAAAATATGTCACTTAGCTCAATTGATACTGCAAACTGGTGTGAAACTAATAAAGTTATAAAACCAGCTGTAATTATCAGTTATAACATAAAAATAGGTGGAGATGATTAGGCTCTAGTTTGTTATCTAGCAACCCAGAAAAAGAAATATTATACAGCAATTTTCCAAAATCTTCTAAACATGGCTGTTTAGAATGCTTTCATTTTGCAAAAGAAGCAACTCCCAAACGTCAACAGGCGCACCAGCGGCAGAGTGGTAAAAGTTGCTGAACACTGGTAGTTCAGTCTTCAGTCTGAGGTTTGAATCCCACAAATAGGCTGGCTGCATGGGTGTTTTTGTGTTTTCCTTATGTGTAATGTATGTACAAGAATTCCCTTAGAAAGTCTACCATGAAAGCATCCCTCCCTTAAGCAGGTAGCCCTCGAGGCTTTGCAATAATCTCGTAAATAAAAATGTTTAGAATCATTCATGATATTTTAACCCCTTATGCGCCCATCTTTTGTATGGGCAGCCGATTTCAGTACATTTTGTCACACCTGAATCTCGCACTCCATATTTGCATTAAAAAAGGTCATGGGGATTCCAATTTTTATCATGCCTGTATATTGATTTTGTTTACAAAGTACATTCACAGATGGTAGCACAGTACTTCTAATTTGATTGTACAGCAGTAGTATGCAGATTTAGGGAAAAAACTTTGTTAGAACATGTTCACGTTAAAAAAATTTCTGTTAGAACATGTTTTGAAAGGATTCAGTTTCAGTACTCATCTTTTCATGTTTAATATTTGTAAAATAAGTAGCTCAAGTGAACGAGAGGATTTAATTCTTGAAAAATTGGGAACTGATTCAGAAGACAGCTTTTTTTTTTTTTTCAGATACTTTTGATTCTTAAGTATCAGAATTTAAAGACAGTGATAACAGTGACAATCCTGCGGAACTTTTACCAGGCCATCAATGGAGTGAAATTTTGCCAGATGTCCCAGATATTTGTCCTCTTTTTCAGTTCAAATCATTGCCTAAAGTTAATATTTCATTTCTAGGCAGTTCAGGCATTTTACAGTATTTTGAACATTTTATAAATTATGAAATAGGGTTTTTAAAAGATCTAAAAGAGACTAATTTTGTTATGCTGAGCAATCAGGTAATGTTACTAAAAGGAAACTGAAAGGCAGAAAAGAATGGAACCACCACATAAAATGTGTCCTTGTGCAGTCAATTTTACAAGGTATAATAAAAAAGCTGAAAAAAGCATATATTGGACTAAGAAGACATCAGTGGAAATATTTTTTTTCATAAGATTGTCATATGATCGGTACTCTGAAATCAATAGTACTTGCATTTTGTGAACAATGATTTTCATGATCCAGAAGATCATCCTAATCCAAAAAATTCGGGCTGTATGTGAGTGAGATATTGTTATAGATCCCAAGTAGGACAGCAATGTCATAACGACGTTGCAATCTCGTTGCAGATGTCGTTGCAAAAACCTTGCAATATGTTGTCTGTAAGGCGTCCAGATGTCTGCGAACATCCACTGTTTTGCAACTGTTGCAAAGACGTCTTTGCAGATGCGGTTTTTGTCGTATAGACATCATTATTGCATCTTTCACAGGTGATATTTTGGTTGTGAAAGCATCATATCATGACATCATAAAGACGCCTAAATGTTTGACAAATTGCACCTTTTTGCAACAGTTGTGAAAATGTCGTTATGTCCTTCTGTTACATATTGATTTATGCAGAAAAATAGGCTTAATAATTAATATATTTTTCTTCTTTTTTAAAATTTTGTATTCCTTGTATTTATCTAGTAAAGTTTAAATATTTTATTGTTTCCGGAAAATCAGGACATAATACAATGTTTTCTCTTTAGACTAAATATGCATAATTAATAACAGCTTTAATTATTTTCAGTACTTTAAACTGTATTTTTTAAATAACTTAAATTTTAAGTTACAATTATTTAAGATTTCATCAATTTTGTTTCTTTAAGTGAGAGTAATTATAAAAGTGGTTATTATATATATATAACATTAATAGTAGGTTTTAAGTAAATAAAACTCAATTAGACATAAATAAAAGTAAAGATACATATGTGGGTAAAAAAAGAGCGTTTCTGATAACAGCATAATCACATTTATTTCTGTTAAATCTCAAATGTATACCTGAAGTCAAGTATGACTTTTCGCATTTTACAGTAAAAAATATAACCATTAACTTCTATATCTCCAAGATATGCAAATGGAAGACAGTATAAAGTAGTTAATAAATGTGATAAAAAATATACCTAAATGTAATAACTTCCCATATTCATACCTAAAATGAAATAATAACCTAACAAACAACATACATGACAGCACTATTTAAGGAAAAACATTAAAATAGTAGCATTTCAAATAGCAGAAGGAAAATAACAGAAGTAAAGTTTCCAATTAATAAAAAAAATTTGTATTTTTTAACCCTCTCAGTGTTACGGCCGGAAAATCCCGTATAGAAGACTGCCTCCTATATTACAAATGAAAATTTCTGCTAGCTTTTAATGTATTTGATTTCGGTTTGGATGTATATTGAAAGAAAAGGAATCAAGGTACAAAATGAGAGATTCATCTTTTAATTAAAATCAAGAAAATACCACTTATTTATGACATTTTGAGGAACTTTGAAATTTCAGGGCTAACTCGTAACGCTCGGAGGGTTAAATAGTAAGCAATTAAAAGTGCAATAATTATGGATTGCAGTATTTACTAGTAATGCTGCTGTTTCTTAACACCATTTCTCTGATCATATGTAAATGTATTTACTTGCTATTAGTTTCTACGTGTTAGAATAGTGGTATATTACAATAATCATTTCATGCACTTTTTATAATCAATAACTTTTCTTTTGATACTGTACAGAAATAATTCAAATAATATAGTATACGATAGTAAGCTAACTACGTTAAATATCTCACGGTGAAACTTTTTGTTTCTCTTTGTTATGAATTTCTTTGTTATCACAAGCACTTAAAAAGTAAGCGAAGAAAATGAAATATACTTAAATTTAATAAAAAAATAAAACCTAATTTCCAGCATTCATCTATTGAGATAATCTAATAAACATACATAAAGGCAATATTTAAAAAAAACGTGAATTACACAGTGTTTGGAAGAAAGCTACCAAATGACAAGTAATAAAACTACAATTTGCAATCAATAAAAAATATTTAGTGTTTTTAATATTACACTCTTAAATATTGCATAATTATAGATTACAATATTTCATAGTAATCCTAATGTTTCCTTAACACTATTTTTTTTATAAGCAGAAAGTCTGAAAACCAAGCTGTTTGTTTAATATGTGTGATATACGATATCACACTTAGGACATGATAACTGAATTTGTGTATCTAAATATTGCACCGCTAGATCACTGAAGATTGGGGAACACCACCATGTAAGTTTAATCACCAGAAAAACATAAAACACCAAAACAGAACACTATTTCACTGTAGGACGTACCACACTGCATTGTAGAGCAGATATTCACAAACAAAATAAGCAGAAATTTGTCATTTCCACCATGATTTCTGCTCCATTCAAAATAAACTACCATCATTATATTCTTTTCCATTGTTCTCTTGCTGTAGTGAAGCTCTCCAGTATTTAATTCCGACAGTAAATTAAAAAACCATGAAGAAAATATTTCTGAAAATAAAATGGAGCTTGAAATTATTCCGCCATTAACTGACTTGTTCGAATTTGGCAGCTAGCCAAAGCATGCAAGCCTCGACCTCAGATTGTTCATTTATATAATCATACAGTGAATATGTACCTGCAATGTCAATCTCTCGAACAGCAGTTCAGTCTAAACTTTTCAGTGGCTTGTACAATGGCATTAAACTTTTCGAAGGGTCTTCTGATAATTTAATAGAATCTTTTTTAAATGGGATAGAAGAATTATTTCAACCGAGTAGAATTACGAACAATGTTCACAAGACTATATTTACAAAAAAAATATTTATCTGGCTCGCTAAAACATTTGTAATGTCGATATCGCGAAATCCCGAGTGTACCATATACTAGGAATAAACCAAGCATTTTTAAATGCATGGAGATAGACAAAAACGTAACAAACAGTTCATCAGAACTTTTATAGATAATGAATTTCGTATTTTTGTTCACAGTTTCTCTAATTTTGATGTCATTGTTTATTAGTAATTTATCAAAGCCATTAATTTTGTCGTTTTCCATTAAAAGTGTTAATATTTCTTTCTCCTTTTCCATTAATTTTCGTTCTGCTGCTCCTGAGATACTTTGGACAGCAATTAAATATGCATGGATATCCAACATCTTATATCATTAGACGTTTTCTTGGAATTCTTAAAATTCCCCCATTTATAATCGTGAGTACATCTTCGCGCACAATCATAGCTTCGCGAAAATTGTACATTTTGCTTTGTGTGCGGTAAAAATGTTTCATATTATGTCAGCATATTAATTCAAATAAATTCATCCTTACTTCAAGAATAATAGTCATGAATTCAGAGTATCCGTATAATGCATATGTACAAGTATAGGCAATACTATATTTAATCATACTTCAGCAGCGTGTTGTCTAATATTAACCCCTGTTGGAGATACAAAACGGATTTATAAGTTCAACCAAAAATTGTGAAAGTCCCCCTAGATTTGTCAAAATTACACAACTTAAAAAATATTTCTAAAATTATGCAACTGTAAAAAATACAGCAAACAAACCTGATTTACTCTATCATCATATAATTACACTAAGCTATTGTAGACTGTCAGTATATTGAAACTAATTTTCGTAGGGAAACCGAGATAGGTTCTGAAAGTGAAAAAAACAATGAATTGTAACAGTGTATTAATGAGGTCCAATTATCGCTGTAAATCTTTTATAAGAGATTTCAGAACTGAAAAATCTGTTTTATAGGACAGTCCATAATCAACTGGCATTGTAAAGAAATGTGATCTAAAATGTGTCACTGTGTTGCCATGCACACGGATGTTGGGTTGTGAGTGCAGTAAAAAAAGTGAACCAAAACAAAGGGCAGCTAAATCAAGGTCTGAATGTCAGTAAGTATAGTGTTATTGGGTTTAGAAGCAGGTATGGGAGAATGAGAGTATAATGTAGATTAAACTTCATATCAGGAATGGGCATTAAATGTTTACAGTTAACAAAAGATGTTTTAGGTTTTTCAATATAATCATTTTTTGAAGCATGAGTGTTGTTGGCATTAAGAACATGTACATTATTGGAGAAACCTGAATTGTATTTGTATATTCAGTCTTCAAAATAATTATTTTTCAGAAAAATAACCTCAGATATACAGCATTTAATACATCCAACAGTGTGCAGTTAGGAGCTTGCATGTTATTGGAGAAATAATAGACTGAGGAATATGCATAACATATGAAACGAAATTGTACATTCTTGTGTTTGTGAAATCAGTGTTCAGAATAACAACCTCAAACATGTAGTGCTTAATACTAATCATTGGTTTAAGTATGTTCTGCAACACACCAAAAATGCATTTTAGTGTTCCCATTTTATGATATAATTCCTATGGGACTATGAGCAATTCTGAACTCCCGGGTTGAGAAAGTGCATGTAATTGAAAACTGCATTTTAAACATGATGAGCATGTATTTTAGTGTAAGGTACTAACAACACAAAGGAATCATTGCATAAAAACTGTCATTTAAGTATGAGGAAACCTCTTCAAAATTATTAAAATAAAAGTTTAATGTTAAAAGCTTTTTTCCCCATATTCAGCTGTTATTTCTCTTTAAAACTTTCGTTGAGAAAAATAGCAAGGCAGTTTAATGTTCTTATTATTTACCATAGTTACTAGTCAGCTGCTGTGTATCAATACTGCAAATACTGTAACAATTTCGCTTCTCAGAATTATTATGAGATGTGGCAGAGGACAGTTTGATATACTTTGATGACATCTTTGATGTTATCACATGATGAGAGGACTCCTAAAAATATTCAGCAGTTGTCATCACATGGTGAGAAAACTCCTAAAAATATCCAGCGATGAATATCTTTCCACCATAAAGAGACCAGATATATTGTTCTTTTTGTCATATGTGTATCAGGTTAGATTTGATGTAACTTTTTTTGAAATGGAGAGGTTATGTATTCTTTGCTTCCAAATGTGACACAGAATTTTTGCCAGGAAAGGATGTGATGGTTATTAGAGACAATCATCCACATTTAGAGAACATGGGGTTTACAGGAAAAGGAAAGAGTTTTTGGTTTTTTTCTGTCTCATAATAGAAAAATGTCATTCCTATAAAACTGTTCAGAAGCAAAAAAAGGGGGGAGGGAGAGAGAGCATTTTTGCTATAAAACATAAATTTCTGCAACTAATAAATTCATGTATAGCCTTAAATGCCCCTCTACTTTCCTTTTTGTCATGGCATTCCAGTTGCATTAAAAATGTTGGTAGTTGGTTGTGGAGTGGAGTTTTAAAGGCCCACTAGTTTAAGTGTAGGAAAATTATTATATTGAAAGAACCATATGATCAAGTAATAAGTTGTGAAGCAATCATATGTCAAAAGTATTTTTATTTGAAGAATCACAGTGATTCTGAACTTAAATAGAAGTCGGCCAAGGTTTTCCCATTTAAAAGATTGTAATTCTAAAGGAAAAAATGTGATAGAAATCATCCTGATTTCTGAGATCTGTATGAAATTCTGAATTTTTTCTTTATTTTTTACAATCACTCTGGTTGTGAAATGTTAAGGATACAAGAATCTTGATTCTAAAAATTTTTAGCCTCTTGTTTTAAATTTTTTTTTATATACAGGCAAGAATATAAATGACAAACAGAAGTGTAATATAAAGAGAGGCAAAATCATACAAGCTGTCTATCCAGTGGCAGAAAAATATTAGAAACCTGCTATAATGCAAAAGTCTGTAAATTATAAGTGCATCTTCAGCCCACAGTTTTGCCACTCACTTCCCCTTTTTCTAATATTATAGTACATATATTTAAAGTGTTTGTTGTATATAGCTTTGTAACGTAGTGTCCAGTCAACCTTATTTGTATAAATTATGCATTTTACACTGAAACAGTTGATTATGAAATGAGTGTGTCTATTATATCTCCTAATATAAAATTTAATTTACTACTGCGATTTTCTGTTGATAAGTTTTGAATTAAGGAATGATTTATTATATGTTGAGTTGAGATGGGAAAAATTTATATATTTTATTATGTGTTGAGATGGAAAAAATTTAATGAAACGTTTAATGTGGGAAATTTCAATCTGTCATCATAATACGTCATTTTTCAAATAATTGCTATTTTGCTGTAGTAGTCCAATACTCAAATTTTGATTATTGTGTACTTCACAAAGGTTTTTGTCAATGAATGGTTTTACTAAATGGTTATATTTACTGAAACATTTTGGGTGTAGTATATAATTGTGTTGTATGCACCTTTTCTTCAATTTAATAACTTTGCTTTTTATATACATTTACAGCCATTTTGATGGAGTAAGAGCATTAGCTTTCCACCCTGTTGAGCCAGTTTTAATTACAGCATCTGAGGATCATACACTTAAATTGTGGAATTTACAGAAGACGGTACCTGCTAAAAAGTAAACATTTGTCAACCTGATTTTTTTAATACTTAGGAAAAGATAGTTTTTATACAAACTGTTCTTTATTGCTTTCCATATCCTGCACAAATAGAGCAATGGAGATTTAATTTTTAAAAAACTGAAGTTGTATGTGTCAAATGCTGTTGTTTTGTTTTATGTAATGGGGATTATTTATCTGTACTGAGAACATGCACTAGCTCTCTTCTTAAATGTCTTTGATGGAAAGTAACTGAAATTAATTTAGAAGTCAAACAACAAAAATCAGCTTTATATTTTCAAATTTGAAAATATAATGCTGAATTTTGTTGTTTGACTTTTAAATTAATATTTGTTAGGCGTGTAGTATTATCAGATCTTTGCATGGGTCATTTAGAAAATTACCTTTAAACAGTAATCTTACTTAGAATTAGCATTTGAGAAAGAAGTTGTTCTGAAAAAGCATTCTATTCTATTGTGTGAAAATACTATTGCTAAAGATATGCCTGTTCTGCTTCCAATCTGTTGTGCAAAAATAATCTTGCAATGAATGTTTGTTCATTGAGGCATTATTACTTCATACATAAAATATTAATAATTCTATTAATATTTTGCAATATTCTATCATTTGTGCACCAGCATGAAATTCATATTGAAGTTTCTTGTGTGTGATGTGTATTTAGTGAAATAAACATAATTTTGTGTGTTTTGTAAAACATTTATGGTTGAAAATTATTTTATGGCGTATCTTGACTGAACAAATATTTATTTTATGGCGTATCTTGACTGAACAAATATTTTTCAAGCAAATTTCGTTTAACCCTTTGGGGTGCACTACACTTTAAAGTCGGTATTTCAACAAGAAAAGTTGTATGCAGTCTATATAGGCCTAAAGGAGTATACAGATAAAATTTTGTAAAAATTGCACTTACCGTTTTAATTCTGTGGGTGTTCCATGAGGTGAAACACTGCGCCACCAGAGCTCTTAAAAGTGCGACTAAGAGAGCATTGCAGTAAAGCACGGAAATTAGTAGAAGCTTATGTATAGTAATGAAAAAACAATGTATTATGGCTGTATACATGGTTTTCTGGATATACACAATATTCTTGAGTATATATAGATAAATGAGATAAATATATGTATATACACAAGTCCTATATACAAAATATTTACAAATTTTTCGACTTCATAGCTTCGTGAAATTTTCAAAGCATGTCACATCTTTTTGATAGAGGCACAAACCAACTTTGCAGGTTTTGAACAAAAAACTTGTTTTGTGCGGCTTCTGTTCTGTGCAACAATATGTTTAGAATTCAAAGTAAAAAGAGAAAAAGAAACTTTTTCCTATTCAGAAAGAGTTTTCCTGCCATTTATGGAAAATTAATAATAAAAAATTAACTGCAATTAATATTAACAATAATGAAAATAAGCTATAAGATATACATACATAAAAAATATCTACACAATTATTGTAAATAAACAGGAATGAGACTAAAAAGCGATAGCAAAATAATTTGCGCAGCTCCCCTAAGTAAGGATGACTCAAGCTACTGATAAAATTCCCGCCTGAAAACTGCTCACAAAAATTTCAAGGTGCCCATATTAAGGCTTTCATAGCGCAAACCACACCTCACCCCTCAAGACCGCTTTGTTTGAATTCATTCCCCCAAAACAATGTAAATAGAAAACATATACAACAGATGTTTTCTTCTGCGTAATAGCATGAGATCGCTGAAGGCACAGTGTTCCCACTAAAAGACGCAGTGTTTTATTTAATGATTCTGCACATGCTTTTTGTATGAAAAATGTAAAAAAATATATAACAAATAATATAGAGTACAGCCATTAAAATAATACATAATTTTTTTTAAACAAATTTTTTTTTGCGTCACAAAAAAATATAGAAAATTACTTGAAAATAAGTGGATTTTAATAACAGATCATAAATGAAAATTCTGGGTCTCCTTGTGATATGCTGCCATCTACTATTTAAAAAGAGAAGTTTGACGTATATTGTAAAGGCATTTTTATCCATTTACGGTGGAATGTAACGGTTTCAGAAGTGATTCAATTTGGGTGTTCCATGTAGTGGAACACTGAGCAACAAAGGGTTAAGCCCACATGTTGTTTCAAGAGTTTAATATTATTTTTGTTAATATTTTAATTTAGAAAGAACTGCTCAGCATTTACAGTTTATTATAGGAATGAAACTTAAACGAAATATTGTATATATGTAGATATTATTTAATATTTTAGGAACAAAACATAGGTAAAAATATTGTATATATATTATTTAACCCCTTAACTGCTGCAGGTGTATATATATGCCTTGTGCAGCCGATGCGTTAACTGCCACGGGCGTATATATACACCACATGCAAACTACTATCATTTGCTTTGCACTGCTACCCATAAAATTATTCGCAAAGCTTTGGAATTCAACATCACAATGACCTTGACGAAGTATGCGAAGGAGGATACTATTCAGAGAAGTGTGTGGAGAAATTGGAGAGAGGTGTGTGTCTAAAGCGATGAAAGTAATGACCCCGGTATTGGCTGGTGTTGTTTGAGTAAAAAATATTTTTTTTTATTCTGTGTCCTCCGTTTTCATTTACTTTTTGTAGTAGGTTCCAGGAATAAAGAAAGATGTAACAGATGTTTCAAACCCATTTATCTTTTTTGAATTATTTTTTGATGAACTGCTCGTGCTTCATTTTGTTACTGAAACTAACGGTTGAAGACGAGTATATGAACCAACACCTTGTAAACTAAAAATCAAGAACAAAATCGCGGCATTCAACCAGTTTTTTAGGCATACTGATTTCACAAGGTATAACACTGAAACCTGATATTACACTTTACTGGTCTAAAAATGAATTGATTGAAACTCCATTTTAGGGATCTTTTTTATTATAAAAACATCATTTTTTTATTATACTTACATCTTTTTATTATACTTTTACTCAAAACATTAAATTTTGTGCATTCATTTTTTTTTTCTTTTATTCTTTATTTTGTGAAAGTAAAACTTGCACTTATTTTCCCCCTAATGCATCATATAACTACATGTGCCTGTGTGAAAAAACGTGGCACTGGGAAATGAATCCTGTACATTTTGTGCGGCAGTTAAGGGGTTAAAAGATGGATGCCTCAGATTATCTGCACCCCCTCACTGAACAGTTGTGAACTAATTGGTGACTTTGGAGAGCATTTGTAAACTCGGCAGAGACTAATTTTAATGTGCAAAATGCAACAACTGTTTTAAAAATAAGGCAGACTATGAATTTCATAGAAGAGCTGTCACTGATTAAAATTTAAAAAGCAAGAAGCATTGGTAATGAAACACTTTGGTTTTCATGTTAATAAAAATCAGATAAGTTTATTAGCTTTCAAGCTTGGTATTGTGCAACAATGACATTGTGCATAGGTTTAAATAGATGTGCTCTGCGCATACTTTGGTATGTAGCATAGCTATATAAATGCTTTTTGGGGCCATCATGATTTGCCACATGGTCATTTTATTGACATACTGCTTTGGCTCATCAATAATTTCTCAAAACTTTCTGGTAGGGGTGTGGAAAATCAGAATGTATCAAAGGATGAATTTGGATTGTCTATAAAGCTCTTATACTATTAACCCTCCAAGCATTACGGGTTTTGCCCTAAAATTTCAAAGTTCCTCAAAATGTCATGAATAAGTGGTATTTTCTCGATTTTAATTGAAAGATGGCTCTCTCATTTTGTACCTTGATTCCTTCCAATATACATCCAAACCGAAATTAGATACATTAAAAACTAGCAGAAATTTCCATATATAATTAATATAGAAGGCAGCCTTCTGTGCAGAATTTCTGGCCGTAACGCTGAGAGGGTTAAAAATGTTAAAATAATATTTATTATCAGAAAACTTTGTTTTGTACGGAAATTGTTTTACAAATGTCAAAGAATTTTAAGTTCCAAATATTGGTGAAGATTATTTCTGCAGATACTTATGTAGCATATGAAAATTAACAAATAACCTAATGATAAGAGCTATATTTGTAATTACTGTATAATGATTAAAAAAATGAGTAAGTTGGAAAACCATTCTCCAATTTTTTAACGTTTTTATTATCAATAAAATAGGGAATTTTAGAACTTATGAGAGTCTAAATTTATTGATGATAAAATTTATTTTATCCGAAAGTTGAGAGACCACTGAAACAGAAACATTGGATCTTTTAATGTTTTAACGTTATCAATGTGCAAACTAAGTGCTTTATTACTGAGTACATCATACTGTTTGTGCCAAACTGAGATTCCAGGGAATCAGTTATTATGTTTTTTCCCCTCAGATTGAATATGTGCAATCCATTGTGGGCTTTGAAAGATTGAATTTTATTTTGTAGTTCTTCCTCCACTTTGAAAGAGATTGGATTTTATGACTCTTCCTTCAATCACTCTGTATAACAAGTTATGATTTGTAGAACTGGGATTGTAGCAAAAAGTGTAATTTTGTCATGTATTTCATCGGCTCTAACAGTGAATAAACTATCTTCATTGGTGTTTAGTGTAAAGTTGTTCTTAAGAAAAATCAAGACAGTTTCTTCATTTCTGGTGTCAGTATATCTGGTAGCCATCTGCACAAACCTTTGATGTGCACAGCCTTTTGTGACAGATATTTTCATTGACTGAATATTGATACTCTTTTCTGTTGCAGGTTGAGGAACTAAATAATATTGATTGTCTATCAGATGGTTACATTCACACTCTGGCCTTGTCAAGGATTGAGGTTTGCCTAAACATTAACGAACCAAGTTTTTGATGCTAGCCTAAAAACATGACTGTAACTGCAGTTTACATTATAAATTCTGATAGTTTCTTTCTTCAAGAACTCATCACTGAAGGTTTAGTGGTCAGACATTATTGACTACAGCCCTTCACCGCGTCACAAAAATCAACTCATACCTAGCACTTATCACTATCCATTTATATATGCTGGAAGATATAATTGTTTAATTGAATTTTCCACTAGTATTATGTCATAGGCTGAAAACTGTTAACTGCCTTTCATATTTGGTAGGTATTTATCCTTTGTTCAATGTGTTTAAAATAACATCACTTGGTGTTTTATGCCATATATTTTCTGAGTAGCATTTCTACTTCTGAAAAGGTCTTGTAGCTGAAGATGTTCAAACTCTGTGTGAGTAATGGTTTACATGTATTCTAAACTTTATCTGTGTACTCTAGCTTTTTGAAAAGTATTGATTTCTAGCTCATGTTGATTAACGTTTCTTAGAGCATAATCATAGCACTCATTTTATAACAAAATCCATATTCATAATATGTCAATAGTAGTACGCCTGTTCATAATATGAAGGAAGGGGGGAAAAACTATTTCCATATGGAACATGAAATGTTAGTAATTTCACAGTACTGAGGGAAAAAGTCAGTACTATAAAGTAAGAAACTATTTAATATAGAAGTATGTGATGTTATATATTTAACACGCCTTTTCGAAACTCACATCTACTTGTTTTTCTTCATCCTCGTGATTTAAAAAATTAAACATGAAAGTACTAGTAAAAATTTCCATCTGTGGTGTTAATATCCGTAGAAAATGAGATGAAAATTTTAGTGTTTTAAAATTTAATCATTGCTTCTAATTAACTACAAATACCAATATATAAACTTGGTTAATGTTATGTAGTGAAAAACTTGATCTTCTCCATTATAAAGCAACATGCAGTTGACAGTTTTCTCTAAAAAGTTATATATGTCAACATGATACTTTAAGTGAGAAAACATGCTTTTTATCATCAAATTATTTCGAGTGTGGTATATGTTCTTTTTGTGTAAGAAGAATATTTTTTATATTAGGTAATTCAATGAATAAAGAATAAAAGAATGACATGCTTTTGAAACTACACATTAACAACAGTGATTCAGAAAACAAGAATGGTATTTTAAATTATTAGAAGACTGTTTATTTTAATAGTTGCATATATCTGTTACTGTAAAAAATAGTTCAGCACACGTTGTCCTGTAACAGAAAGATCTGAAGACAATGTATTGCTGATATTCATTATAGGACACTTTATGTTGCTGATTACTGACCTTCATGAATTAAGATTATTTCCTTCATGTCCCACAAAAAGTACAACTTCTTACTCAGAAATATTTACGTGTTCGGTTGTCTGAATTCACAGCCAGTTAATTTTCTAAATATTATAAGAAAATGTTTGGTTTATTTTTGGTTAATATAATTAAAGTTAACAGTGTCAGAACTTTTACCATGTTAAGTAATTAAATGATATTATTGAACTAGGAGATCAATATTTTAGAAATTCACCACAAACTGAGATCATTACACACCGATAATATAAGCCTGGTTCAAATAAAATTTTAAAACACTAAAATGGTGAATGGGTTGAGTGCATTGGCATTTCCCTTGTTTCCATTTCTGATTCTTTTCTGACTTTTAGTGTGCTTTGTGTTAATCTAATAATTCCAAACCTAGTCTATTGACACTAGAAAATGGAATTTCCCCTTACTATAAAGTCATCATGTTGACATATCTAATTGAAATCAAGAATATATTAACATAATGTTTTTGCAAATATAGATTTAATGTTTCATTAACAAACATTAACTTATTCTGAAATAATGTTGTTATGTGAACTTATGTATGAAGATCCAAACAAATGTTTTAAATAAGGATAAATGATAATAGCAGTGTTACTTTAATCTAAGCACATGAGAATATATTCTTGAAGTTATGAATATTTAATGTAGTCAAAATAAAATTTATCAATAACATTAATTTGAAAGAAAGTACATGCAAATCACAAGGTACTGCCACTAACAAATCTGAACTTTACATTTTCACGGATCAAGTATTATTTTCCCTTGCATCTATTAGTGCAAAATTATCTTTTGTTACTGGTTTTCTATATTTTTTGCTAATTGCCCTCTTGCATCTGTAGTATCTATATATAATATCAGTTATTAGTTCTCTTTTTATTGCAATTTTCAGCTTGGCATTATACAGGAAAATTTCATTTTTATTCCTGACCAGAACCTTGTAGAACAGTGTAAAATGCAGCTGATAGTCATGTTTTAGTCAAAATTCATATAAAACTGGTTTAAAAATGTGTTCTTTGTATTTTTGTCCCAATCTAGTCATTAATTGCATTAAAATTAAAAACATGCATTCTATGACCATGTGTGATTTTTGAGCATTTTTGAACAGTTTCATTTTGTCAAGAATGTCAACGTTATATTTTGTAGAGTTATAAAATGATATAGCTCTATGCGATTCGTTGGCTTTATCTATCATACCACCAGTTTGATGAATGTTATTAGAATGTACGAAAGAGCTAAAAAGCATCGAACTCATCTATTGTCATTTCAGCTGTTCTTGTATTTGCTGGCTGCTGTTCAGTACATTCTTTTGTTTAACAGTATTTGCTTTTCCTTACTTCATCTATAACTGTAATAAGTGCTTATCTATAAATAGCATATGCCTTTTCTATTTTCTACATTTCTCATAGCATATGACACTATTCCACCACAATTTGCATAATTTTGCACATCAAACCTCCCTCCCACCTTTTTGCATTTGAATAAAGTTTGTAGAGATATGTATGTGTATCATGGTAAGGTCATTTGTGTATAGCGAAACACTGAAAGGCTTTCTGTGCAAGGGAATGGATGCCTTTGTGGAGGACTTTCTAAGGGAAATGGCTCATGATCACATTACACAGAAGTAAAACTGTAAAAGTGAAGCATGCAGCCAGCCCATTTGTCTGCGATTAAATTCCTAGTATTTAGTGGTCCTAACCACTCAACTGCTGTTAAAGTGCATATGTATCATGTAAAGTTGAGAAAAATTATAAAAACTTCAGTAACCTGAGCACACAAATAAACACATAGTGCCCAGAAATAAGTATGAAACCATCACATAGACGTTAGTCATTATTCTAGTACTAAAAATTATCATTATTACATGTGTACTTTTTCTTTTCAGAACTGCGTCTTTGGATGTTGAACCAGTTTACACATTTAGGGCACATGTGTAAGTAGCAACATATATATGTGATTAAATAGTGAATTAAATTTCCATTGCTTTGCCAATTATGTTTTTGTTTCCTAATTTTTTTCAAATTAATACTATATTTTAGTGGTCCTGTATTATGCTTGGCCTTAAGCACGTCTGGCGATCATTGCTTTAGTGGTGGAATGGATGGTACTATTAGATGTTGGAATGTTCCTAGTTCTCTAAGTGACCCATATGATTCCTTTGGTAAATAAATTATGTATAAATTTTCCATGCAAGTGTATTTGCAGCTAAATTATCAAAAGTGATGAAATTAAGTGAAAAAAAAATGTTTTTCCTTGTTTTAACAGTGCAGTTTGGTTTTAATGAAATTGTATACTGACAGTGATGAAAACTATTTGAGTATACGCCAAAGAGCATAACTCAACTGTGAGTGTATATTTGTTCTTGTGTAACATCTTAGAGAATTTTAACAAATGTAAAATTAGCTAAAAGTGCTGTTAGAACTACTATTTAAATATGATTTATTTGAGTAATAGTTCGATAATGTAGCAAAAAATGAATGCAGGACAAATGTTTGGATTTATAGACAAGAAAGATTGATTGGGAAATAAAAGTTTCTTTCACTGAAAAAAAAACGTATTGCAAAAAATTCAAAGCATACTGTTTTGTGGATATTAGACCACTTTTATATTTTAAACTTTGGATGTCCATGCACTTTACTTCTCGTGATTAACCTTTTTGCGACGGCACACCTTTGTTTAAGACGCTCGTGCGGGAAGGAAGAGAATCGAAGGCAGTCGCCGTACAGGACGGAGGTTTTGCATCACTAAGCCTAATTATATATATATATATATATATTATAAAAAAAACAGAAAAACAAAAGTTTTGCTTCTAGCATCGTAATTTTTGGTATCATTTTAGATTATTACATGAGCTGTTTGTTATATATGTTAAAATTAGCACTTAAAACATTTTTTTCTTTATTTTACATGAAAATATACTTAAAAAATTGCTTATATTGTAAAATAATTTTCGGAAGCGCTATTCAAATTATTCCAAAGTTTTAATTGATAAAATCTATCAATAAAGTTTAAAATTAATAAAAAGAACACAATAAAGACTATTTGCAGTAAGAAGTAACAAAATTTAAAATGAAAACGAGTGTGGTAAATCTCGAAGAACAGAGAAGTATCACTTTCTAACTCTTAGAAAAAGTATCACATTTTTACTCTTTAGAAAATGAATCAGTACTCTCATTTGCATTAGTTAAATGGTTCACTAACCATACGAGGGTATTCTTCTTCTGATAAATAGCGCCTTCCCGCCATAATAGACTGGAGGTGAGGCTTTCCTAAATAAAAAAAGAAGGAACGGAAATATATCTGAAGGCAATGCAAAACGTAAAAAAATTCTGCACAGTAACTCTAAAAGACCGTACGTAGTAGAGGAAAAAAATAGAATAAAAAAAGGAATTGGATATAAATCAGATACGAGAATGTTTTCATTAGCACGCAGCGATTTAAAGAGCCTGCCTCTGTTTACGCTTTCCCTCCGCCCCCCACCCTCGAACAGCTGATGAGTAAAATATCACAGTCAAGCAGAATATATCAAATTCAAGGCCATGAACCTAAAACTGTGTTCTTTTCGAAAATAATGGACATAGGATGCCATCTAGTGGCCTTCAGAAAAACGTTCGACCTTAAAATGCGTATACGCATCACCCGTCCTCTGAATGCAATCTGTACTGATGCGTGGATGGGATGCCCGGCTGTAAGAGACGTTCTTAGGGAATGCGTATATGGGACACCCATTCTGAAAGGGTTAAAATATATCTTTTTCAGATGTGTTTGTTAAGGTTTCTCCTTTAAAGTATATTCATGAAAGCCTATGTTATAACAAAAATAAGTAAAGAAAAGTTCTTTACAAAGTAGCTATGCTTTTACATTATGCATATGCTCATGTAAACGTACAGGAAGTGAAAATTTTTGCGAGTTTGTGTAATTAATTGTTTTTAATTAATCTTTAAAATTACCTAAATTACTAAATCAGGAAATTAATAATTTAGGCCCCCTGTTCAGCCTCCGTTGTTGAAGCGGATCACTTTTCATTGCAAGTGACGATCTGGTCCAGAATTTTGTCCTTGCATTTAAGCAGATGAGTGGAAGCCTGAAAAGAACATGTCTGTCGTTATCTGCTGGAGTCAGCTCATGCGGCACCCAATTATTCAACTTGTATATTAAGTTTATGCCATGCATAGCAGAACTAATAGACATGGCACTAACATCTTACTCCTTAGCAAGCTCTCAAGTGGAAGCACACTGATCTTCTTCCACAAGTTTTCACAGGAAGGCTTTATCAACATCAGTGCACTGGCCAGAGCGTTGTTGTGCTCTTTTAATGTTATATTCCTTGTGTTTGAACTTTTGGTACTAAACGTTCATAGTGTCATATGATAGAACATTAGTACTTAAAGCTGTACATATGTGACATTCTGTAGCTCACTTTCTGCCACAGAACTGGAAGTAAATGGTTGTTCTAATCTGTTAGCATGATAGTTCCATTTCAGATACCTTATACATGATAATGATATTTTTTTACAAATTTCATAACACATGTTCTAAAGCAAGTCTCTTTCAAATGCCAAAAATCATTTGACAAAATCTGATTGAACAATGATCCATGTTATGCTATGATATTATGTTATGCATGTTCCAATGATGCCAATGTGAACAGTTTGCGCAGACGATATTTGCAATTGTGTGAAACTTTCATTAAAACTCAGTAAATGAAAAATGTGTACTGGAGTTGATGTGACCCTGCTGGCCACCTAGTATTTAAGTAGTGTTATGTCGAACAGTATGTTTAATATTACTAATTAAAAATAAACTGTTTACTTCCTACAATATTCCCCCACGAAATAAGTGCAGTATGTTGGATGAATAGGAATAAACCTTTTTTTCTCATTAAAAAATATATGTATAATGTTTAGTTGTTATTAAGATTTTTGTTTCAAATGAATGACTTAAACTATGTACTTGTTTCAGATCCTAATGTTCTAACTGCTACTTTGAAAGGCCATACTGATGCAGTATGGGGTCTTTCTATTCATAGCTCAAAATTACAATTACTTTCTTGTTCAGCTGATGGGACAGTTCGTTTGTGGTCACCTCAGTGTAAAGTTCCATTATTACATACTTATGGTTCTGATATTGGTAAGTTTGTATTCTTTCTTTCCCCTCTCCCTAAGATGTGCAAATATTACTCATGTTTGTATATTTCAAAACTGTAACAACTTTTTAAATTGCGTTTAAGGCATATCTTCAGGGTTTGTGCGGTCCTTAAGAGTCTTTAAAAGTCCTCAAGTTTTTTGGAATCGATTTTTGGTCCTTAAAAGTCCTTAATTTCGGCCAAAATCAGCAATTCATTCCTATTTCTAATATAAATCGTGGGATTTTTGAGTTTTATAGTGAAAGAACTGCAGCATAAGTATTTTGAAATAATTTAATTTTTTCTAATGAAGAGCTCTTAAACAACTTTCCGAAATCAGCAGAATGTTCTTAATTTTAATCATCTGAAATATTTGTCTATTTTTACAATTGCCATTTTGAGTGTGAATTAGCATTTTGGAGGAATATTTTTGGTGATTGAACTGACAGATATGGTTATCTTTTGAATGAGTGAATGGGTTATAAAATTTATTCCTATTTCTAATATAAATCGTGGGATTTTTGAGTTTTATAGTGAAATAAATGCAGCATAAGTATTTTTAAATGATTTAATTTTTTCTAATGAAGAGCTCTTAAACAACTTTTGGCTTTTGGGGATGTGAATTCTTTTATTAAATGGCTCTGAATTTGGCGACTTATCAACATTTTGGCGATTTTAAGATCAGTTTCTGTAGAAAATTTTTAATTTCAAGATCTGGGAATTTTTTGACAATTTTTTTAAAACATTGTAACGTGGATAAATTTCATTAAAATAGATGTAAAATATTGAAATTATGTTTAAAAAATAACATTAAAATAAAACGTTTTTAATTTTTACTGTCATATTATAAAGTTCCATTTTGGCCACTTATTATGCAATATTTTTAATCTGCAAAATAAACAAGGTATAATGCTCTAAAGCACAATTAACGAAACAGTTTTAGCAAAATCAAAATAGCTATGTAAATAATTGAAAATGTCTTTAAATTTTTTCATGGTAAGAGTTTTTCCCATGTAATTGTCTCAGAGTATTCAGTTTTCTCTATAAAATTAATTTTACATCTTTTCCCTCTGATACTTTTTCTCAAAATATTTCTGGCTTTTTACTGTTACAGAATTTTTCTTTAGAATTTTAGGCATTGCAGCTTGGAAAGTTTAGAAGAATTTGAAGGCAAAATTTATAGACCCATAATTCTAGAAGATTACAAAAAAATGCCTCCATGCTATTAACACGTAATTTAATGTATTTTGCAGAAAGTTTGCAATGTATTTCTTACTTTTTGGAAAAGGTCTGGAAGAACAAAGAAAACATAATACAGTCAAAAGTCGTTAATTCGGACACCCATAATCTGGAATGATCTATAATCCGGACCTCAAATCTACAAACTTTCTGGCATGCGTCGTTTTGACGCATGCGCGTAAGACCTTTACGGCTGCTAATGTGCGTGTGCGCATGCGCATAATACGTTTACGCAAGCGTGTTTAATGTATAACGGACGGTATAAGCTAAGCTGAAATTATCTAATTCAGGTAATGTTGCAGATTGCGTTGTTCCTTAATCTTCGAATTGAATCCGGCTTATTATTTTTTGCAGACTGTTACAGCAATTTTATAAAAGTAAGCTTGAACTTTCGATTATGTCAAATAGAATTTCCGATATATATTTATTAATATGTAAAGGATCTACAAAGCGAAAGTATGTTTCGAAGTCCATTAAACCAAAAAGTGGAATTGCTGCAAAAAATGGATATAAAGGCATATCCTTTGATTATCTAATCATTCCGAAATATGTTTTATCAATTTCACGCTGCTCTGCGGGGGAAGGGAAATGACACGGCGCACAATGAATTGGAAGTTGATCTGTCAGCACTATCCTTATCTTCAGGGCAGATGTTTTTATTTTATTTGTCTTATAATTCCTTACTAAATTTAGTATTTTATCTCGATGTACTCCGTCTTTGATATGATTTAAATCAAATTCCTCCTCATTATAATTCGCTTCCGACAGTGAAGAAAGTGACACAGAGGTTATTGAAAACGAAAAAATTTCGATTGACAAATTAGTCGGTATTCTCGAGACAGCAATTATAGGAACTTGACCAGCAGAACTTTGTAACTGAAGAAGAAATTATGTCTGTTTATAGAATTAAAGAGAAAGTATTATCACATAAAACGAAGCAACTTAAACAACTTACATTGAAAGAAATGTTTAATAAAAAAAACAAATATTAAGCTTTTTTTTTTTTTTTTTTTTTTTTTTGTAAATTTTGATATCCTTTAGATCATAATTGTTCTTTATTTCATAAATTACGGTTTCATATTTTTAATTTTATAACTTCTGCATGCCATCTTACCAGATTTAAACTGATGATCTATAATCTGGAAAAATCGATAATCCGGAATCGCCGAAGTCCCGACGAGTCCGGATTAAAGACTTTTGACTGTATTTGAATATTTTACTTCTGATACTAGAATTTTTTTCTTAACACGTCTATCTTCCCTTTATTTTCTCTACTTTTCAGTAGACACAGGCATGGAAAATATCAAAAATGCTTTTATTCTTATCAGAAGAACAGGCATTATAGAAAGAATTTTTTTCCTTAGTAAAGAAATTGAAAACTGACAATTTAAATTATTCATATAATATGCTGGCGCTAGGCATTTTCCCACATGATACAATCAATCTCTGTGGATCTTAAATTCTGCTGCCTAGTGCCTTTCTAAATTCTGCTTCCAATGCGTGCTGCTCTAAATTCTAAAAGTTTTGCCATTTCTAGATTTTGTTGCTTGGTGTGCCACTAAATTCTAAAAATTGTGCCACCACCGTCTCTGTAATGACCATGCCATATAATTACTCTTACCATATATATTTCATATTTCTTCTGAATGTTCATATTACTAAAGAAATAAAATTAGCAGCTTTTTCTATGCTTTCTAAATTTAGTGTTTTTTTTTTTTTGAATAACATAAATCTTTATTTTAAATTCTAAAATGAAAAGGAAACATGCTGAAGAATTAAACTTATTCTTCAAAGATATGTACTGCTATTATTATGTAAATTACCCAGTGTTTTATAATTTCAGCCTTTACTATAATTTCCCATTTCTGTTTTCTCACCAGTATACAAATCACTTAGATAATTTTTAAACTGAGGTGTATGGAGTGTAAGACAGAGTTTGTTTCTGATCACCACTTACTTGCTGCATTAGTTCCTGTCAGCTCTGATGATTTGTAATTATTCGTGTTTGCATTTAGTTTGAAATTGATGCTTCTTTTTTAATTGTAATTGATTTGGTTAGCATAAGAACATATCTTTATGTTGTAAGTCCTTTTTAAATAAGATGCTAATTTAAACCTTTGTCTAACTTTGTAGTTACTTTAACACAGAGTGGCTTCACATCTGTCTGGGGTTTTGGACTATTTAACTTTTATCAGTTCAAGTAAACCCTCATAGGTACATTGTGGATAGGCTAATAAATTAAGAGATAAAGCACGCAAAAACTAGTGACAATACTGGTTTGCATATTGGAAACAAATTTCTAATTGTTAGAAAAGATGCTTAATGAAATTGTTATAAATTAGCCAGAATGTCTGCAAAGGCTTCAAATTAAAAAGACGCATAAATATTTTGTTGAGTACTGTTGCTACACGTGTTTTGTAGATTTTAATGTGTAATTATTCTAGTATCGTTTAAGAATCAATGTCATAAATTACATATATTTTAAACTGTGACCATATTAATAGACTGTGGTTTTAATAGTGCTTTTTTAACAAATATTTTTAAAAGATAAATTTAATAGTGCCCAAGTAAATCTATAATGAGTTCAGGTATCTAACTACTTAATTTAATTATTTATAACTAACTACTTACCCTTAAAAATTATCTGTGTATTAAAGTGAGTTATTGCCTGTCATTAATCTTTACTGTGGTCAAAAGATAAAATAAAAAAATGTAAAAATTAATGTAAAACTTATTCTTCACATCTAGTGAAACTTGAAATACACTCATGTCCATAAATTAAGGATAATTCGGAGTCACGTGGAAATCGAACTCTAAAATAAATATATCACCTGTAAAATCACTACACACATCTTCAAGAATCATATGCAAATTTCAGGAAGTAACCAGATGACACCGATGGTATGTCACAATGACGATAGTGTAAGAGAGTGATATGTAAGGAATAGAGGCAAAGGATATGTAAGGAAATTCGCAGGTGCTTTATAAGCATTTCAGTGCAATAACCGAATAGTTATGACACAAAGGATGCATTTGGATGATTTTTTACATGGTAGAATTATCGGCTGTCTGGAATGTGGGCGTACTCAACTGGAAGTATCAGACGAACTTGAAATTGCCCAGAGTGTCATCTCCAGGCTTTGGCAACGATTCCAAGATGATGGTAATGTGAGTAGACGTTACAGCACAGGTCGCCTCAGAGTTACAATGCCGAATGAGGACCGGTATTTGGTAGTTACTGCCAAAAGAAACAGGCGGAGCACAGCCTCAGACCTGTCTCGTCAGCTCTCTTCAGCCACAGGTACGACAATTTCAAGGTAGACCGTGTACAGACGAGATTGGTCTATATGCTCGTAGACCTGTCAGATGCGTTCCACTTACTGCAACTCACTGTAGCCTGCGGTTAGCCTGGAGTAGAGAGCATGCGTTGTGGACACCGCAACAGTGGGCTTGTGTGGTGTTTTCCGACGAGTCCAAGTTTAGCTTGCAATCTGATTCTTGCAGAACTTTCATATGGAGTGCTCCAGGTACCCGTTACCACCAAGAAAACATCATTGAACGGCACTGTTATGGTGGTGCAGGAGTGCTCGTTTGGGGTGGAATTATTCTGGATTCGAGAACTGACCTGCATGTTCAAATTGGAACCATGACAAGTCAAATCTATCGGGACGTCATTCTGGAACAACACGTACATTTGTTTCATGGCGCCATGGGCGTACAATTTGTGTTTATGGATGACAATGCCCGTCCTCACCGTGCAAACATTGTAAGCAAATGCCTTCAATCAGAGGATATCACTCGTGTGGACTGGCCATCACCGGACTTGAATCCAGTAGAGCACGTGTGAGACATGCTTGGCCGATGAGTTGCAGCCCGTCAACCTCCTCCTACATGTGTACCGGAACTTCGGAGAGCATTGCTTTTTGAGTGGTGTAATATCCCCCAAGATCAGATCGATAATTTGATACTCAGCATGCCTAGACATTGTACGGACTGTATTGCATCGTCTGGGAGACATACAATGTATTAACAATCGTTTATTGTAAATAGGTTTTTTTTTTTAACTTGCTCAAGGTTGAAAAAATTGCTAATTTTTTTAATAATATCAAACATATAGCATCTTTTTTTGCTCTTTACCTTTTGTTTAATAAATAAGCTTTACAAATAAGTCAAATTTGTTTTGCTTCTAACTCTTCCTTTGCTTGATTTTGCATTCTCCTTAATTTGTGGACATGAGTGTAATATAAAGCAACTGATCACCTCTGGTTGCTTTATTGGCTTATTGAAACCTTAATGTATGTTAACTGGGTTACAACCTCTGAAACTCTACACGAAGCTACGACACTAGCTGCATCAGGCAGAGCCCAACTATTTTTCAAAGCTTGCCAGCCGCACCTACATCAGGCCTTTCAGTTTTGTTCTGATGAGCATGTTTCATCTAGACAAGCAGTAGAGGTCACAACAGCCAGTCTTTTGTTAGGAATCATGCTGATTGTGATTTTACTTCTCATTTTAACCTATGCTGCTTGGCATAAAATCTACCTACTATTTACTAAACCTCTAGACTGAGCAAGTATGTGGCAAAATGAGACATAAAAGAAAAATCAACATAAGCTAACTGTTAGGTAAAATGTAAATAAAATGTCATTTGTCTTCTTTCTAATATGTCTAACTATTATAAGTGTAAAATATTTAATTCTACTTGATAAATTTCATAAAGTTTTATTTTATTCTATAATTTATTAAGAATTATATTAATTAGAAATTAATGTTTAATAGTAATGCATCCTACTTTTATTTTTGGGACGGTGTTACAAAAGTGAAGTTCAGGCACAGATTAGTATTTCTAATTGAATTTGTTCAGTTCCCATTTGCTCATAGGTCCTTAATTTTTTCATTAATGGTCCTTAAAAGTCCTTAAAAATACTTAGTTTCCGTGTGCAGAAAAGTGTACGAACCCTGTATCTTTTATATTAAGGCTGATTTCTGATTATTTCATTAAGTTTGTAAAGGAAAAAGGTATTACTGGAAGTTTTGCCTTTTGTGTTTAGGGAAAAAATGTTAGGCAGTTATTGTTAGCTTTTCCCTTAGACCAGAGTTTCTTAAACAGTGGGTGGCAACCCTTCAGGGGTGTCGCCAAAAATTTTAGCAGTTTTGATATTTCTTTAACTCATAATAATAATTTTACAATTACCAAATATTTTTAGACAATGTATCTGAAAATAGAAAAATAAAGACAATACAGACAAAGGAAAAAACTAAAACGTTTTGACGCATTCTTTTTATAATATAAACGTTCATTTTACTAGCTTTTTGCACATGACGCTGTCATTTCGTGTGTTACTTATTTAAAATTCTCACATTGTTCTATGTCTTAAAATTAGAAATTAAAGTTAATGACCTAAAACTGCAATAGTATATTACAGTACAAGTGAAAAAATTGGCAGTTTCACTCTAGTGTGTGTCGGATTTGCGCAATGCTGTCCCACAAAATTTTTATAAATATTATGGGGTCCTGGGGGTTGCAAAAAAAAAAAAAATCTCAGTGATAAAAAGGGGGTTGCGACTGAAAAAAGTTTTAAGAAGCCCTCCCTTAGACATTATTACTTTTGATACATAAATAGATGCAGTTAGAGCTGAAAATTTTTAATTATTGTGTTTAGGAATTATGTAATTCTGTAGTAGTATGAGAATGCATTCATTGTTGGAAAAATTTCTTTTTTCTGAAGTTAGTAATTGTATTTATTTTTTTACTAAAGCTGATGGTAGTCCTACATCTGTTGATTTCCTACGTTGTGATATGACACAAATGGTGGCAGCTTACACATCATCTAATTCTGTAATATTTGATTTGGAAACTGGGAAACCAGTCATTCGACTTGACAGTAATCAAACTCCTGGTAATGTATTTTAAATTACATATTTTCTCATAAATATTTAAAAATGGCATTTAATATAGTGAATTTATTTCTTTTCTGTCTCTTCCAAATTTTATTTTAAAATTTCATTAGAAGTACTGTTTGCAGTAAATTGCCTTCTTAAATTGACAATTTTCAGTTTTTTATTATGTTAAAATAAAATTTTGCTTATATGGTGTTAACTTTTTTGTGAGCAAAAATGTTGTGTCATACATGTAAAATTTGATTAAAAAAAAGCTGATAGGAGTAGATATTACATAAAATTAAATTTCGAGGATGACTGATACTTTTTTTTTTTTTTTTTTTTTTTTTTTTCAGAGGTGAAAATTTTGCAATTTTATTTTAGAATTACCCTTTTTTTTTCCCTAGTAGTATTGCCAGCTACCCTTTAAGTCACTTAAGTTTTATATAAAACCTAAGCTTATCTGTGGGGGATCCCCCTCTTTTTTATCTATCTTTACATTATATATTGCTGTGTCTCTTCAATATATACAGATTTGTCTCATTCTATCTAGCAAATTTATGACATGAAATATACAGGTCTTTTGCTCGTGCATTAATAAATTGGTGCATTAATAAATGTATCCTAATTTGTGTTATTTGTCTTTGCAAAAAAAAAAAAAAAAAAAAAAAAAACAGCAATGTAAAATTTTGATTGCTTGTTTTACAAAGTATTTTGGTACATTGGGCACAAGAACGAACCAGAATGTTATAGCTATGCAGGGTTGTAAATGGCATCATCATGTGCTATTAGGTAGTGAGTAGGAGAAATGAGAGTAGCTATTAAATGAACAAAATCCAAGTCGTCCGTAACAAGTGGTATATTTGCAACGTTTGGAGGTTGTTCATAGTGTTCAAAGTTGCACCTGTGAAGTGTAACTCGTCTGATATTCTGTCGGATTCCATGTTTTTATTTTGGAAGGCCATGGCAGCTGTGGAGGTTGACACATCAAGATTCTCAACACAGTGCACAGGAGTGTTGTGCAGACCTTTTAGGTGGTCTTAAAGAAGTAATCCAGTCAGAGTAAGTGCAACTAACACCACATCCATTTTATCCCAAATGTGATATTTAACTGTTGATGAATGTTGCATTGCACTAACTGGAGTGTATTTTACATGATCTGACAATCTTCTCAGTTTTGTTCCCTTTGCCCATTGTTCCCATTGCATTAGATCTCTGGAAGGAACCAGTTTCTTTTAACTGCTTATGCAGCCCTGTCTTAGAGAATATGCCTCATCAGTTGCCATTCCATTCACGTTTATGGCACTCATTGAGTTACTGTTCCTTGTACACAATCCACAGCTCAGTATGGAATGTGAAAATTGGCTGATTTGCTCCTTCATGTAGTTGGTATCTGTTTCCTCTATGTCAGCAATTCTTAACCGGTGGTACGCAAGAGAAAAATAAGTGGCATGCTAAGAAATAAAGTATTTTTAACTATTAAATTCAAAAATCTTGTGAAGATAAAGAAAAACTGATAGAAATTTTCTGCGACCGAACTCTTGAACTAGAAATTTCAAAAATAGCACAATTGTTAACTTTAGGCTGAACTGGGAGGGGGGGTGGAATTAAAAGCATTTCAAATAAAGGGTATTGAATTTTTATTGCTTTTTTGCAAAACCTATTTGTGTGAACAAGGATTTTTTTTCCATGCTGTATTTGAAAAATAAATACAGAACAAAATTAAAAATGGATCCTAATTTATGGTTAAAGCTAAGTGAAATAAAGGTATTGATCTCTCTTGAACAGGCCCAAATTTCACAATAAATTTTAGAATTAAAATATTATAACTTAAATTTTGATAATTAAAGTGGTAACCAATTTTTAATCTAATATTTTTTTATGTGTGCATATTTAATACAAATAGCCAACAGGTTGTGCAGATGGCAAAATTTAAAATGTAGTGGTGGTACTAAAGTTTTTTTCAGTTTTTGCTTAGATGGTTAGCGTTGGTCAAAAGGTTGAGAACCACTGCTCTAAGTGGTTCATTAATGAAGGTTTTCTGCAATGACATTTAACATTACCATGCCTGTACAATGCCATCAATTACATAAACATGCCATTTCTGACCCTGCAATGATTTTGATTTGACTTCGAGAAACCTATTTCTCTAGGAAGTTTATGCATGCTAAACTGAAACGCTGTGTATAACATGGAAACATCAGTTTTATGACAAGTTGCATTCATAAATGATGCTGTTTTAATGACTCCATAGGAATTTCAGACCTAATGAAGAAGAGGCGAATAAAATGCAAAGTTCTGCATTATGTTGCAAATCATGTAGATTTTCATATGAATACTGCATAAACTTTGCTTATGGGTTGTACTTGCTCTGAGTGGATAAAATGTGTTTAACTTGAAACGTGTTTAACAAGAAAAACTTGAAAATTATTTTTATTTATTATTGAGTTGATCATGGTGTAGGAAAAAAGGGGGAGGATATACGCCTATGGGAAGAATATCTTCGGGGAAGGTTTTCTAAGTGAAACTAGTATGCATGGCGTAGCTGATAACCCAGTTTTTTTATGTTCCCCGCCTGTATTGCATAATCTACCATTTTTTTAAAAATTTTTAGCCTTTAATAAGGAAAGTTTTATCTTGCAATAAAAGAAATTTAAATTGTGCAAATTACATTCTCCTGCTCTTACAGAGTTTCAGCTTGATTTTTATATTAAATAGTATTTTATTTGAATTTTAATCCTCTGTAGACATTTGAGGAACTTTCCATGAAGATTCAACTAACCTTAAATCAATAAATATTTCTATTTTTTTACATTATTAAATACACCCATATCATAGTATATAAATGAATTATTAATTTTACTGCATTTAATAAAAATACTTTGATGACCAAAAGTTTTTCTTTCAAGATTTTTCTCATTATAAAAAGTTAAAAAAATAATTAAATTAGATGAAGGAAAAAAATTAAAAACGTGATTAACCCTTCCGAGACGGTGCTCCTTTGTTCAAGACGTTCTATTAGGACAGATGGAAGTTGAAAGGAATCGTCCCACAGGACAGTTGTTTCGCATTACTTAAGCTATCAGATACATTAAAATGAGCAATTAAAAAGCTCTTACGTTATATGAAAATATTTTTAAATATTGCCTACTTTGAGAAATAAATTTTGAAAGCGCTAATCAAATTATTTCGAAGTTTTAATTGACAAAATGCATTATAAGCTTTAAAATTAACTTTTAAAGATACGAGAAAGACTGATTATTAAAAGTAGCAAAATCTTTCACAGAGTGAAAGGTATACATTCAGTGAGCTTAGTCTCTGACAGAATGTCTATATCAGAATCATTAGAAATAGTGCTCTCTAGCTATATAGAAAGTGAATCATCACTCTCATTCATGTCACTGTTGGCTTATTTGTTAAATAAATCGATGTCATATGAAGAAGCAAGTCGAAAAATAAGAAACGTATCTTTTCACATTTTTTATTGAAACTTAACAACACGTGCACAACATTACATCGGCATCCATAGCTCACACACAGAGAAGAGAGAACTTGGTGTTGCCAATGCGGTAAATATAAATGTACCAAACTAACACGCCTCCTTACATTTATATTTACTAATTACAAACAAACATAGATATAAGCAATCTTTTCATCTTTACCATTTACAATTAAGCATAGATATAAACAATAACATTCAACACTTAACACAAATTATTTTTAAAAGAGTTTCTTTCATTAACTTAAATGTTAAAATCAAAGTTAAACACAATTTAGTTTACATAAGGACATTACCAAAATCTATTTCATTTCAAGCAAATATATTTAAATAAACAGTACACAAAATTTATTTCAATTTCAAACCTTCCCTAAATTTCATAAATTTAATCTTTCCTAAAGACTTAGTAAAGATATCTGCAATATTTGATTCTGAATCAATCTTTACAATTTCAATTACTCCATTTTGAACATTTTCGTGAACATAGTGATATTGAACTTCTATGTGTTTTGAATTTTTAGTGAAGTTCCCATAATTAGCAAAAACATCATTCACAACATTTTTCAAGAAATTAATTTCTGTCACAGCCTCAGATAGAGCAATATATTCGGCAAAAGTCGAAGATTTTGTCACACAATTTTACTTTTTGGATTTCCAGTAAATTGGATTACCAAATAATTCAATAACAAACCCAGTAGTTGACTTTCTGTCAACAATATCACCTGCCCAATCAGCATCAACATAACAATTCATAATATCAGTTTTAAGATTTTTACTATAGGTTAATTTTAGATGTTTTGTTAAGTACAAATACTTTAAAACTCTCAAAGCATATTTGAAATGTGTCTCATCATAAACAATTTTGAAATCTACTTAAATAATTTACGCTGAAAGATATGTCTGGTCTAGTACCATGACTAATATACAAGAGTGCTCCTATTAGATTTCTATATTTGACATTTTGATTTAAATTAGATTGGCTTAGTTTAAGATTAGTTTCCATTGGTGTATCATAAAGCTTTGAATTTTTAATACCATACACGTTTAGCTAAAGATTCAATATAATTTTCCTGACTCAGTGTTAAAGATATTACTTTTCTCATTATCATATTCAATATCAATTCCAATGTAGCTTTTTACTTTATTTAAATCCTTCATTTTAAATTTTTTATGAAGTTGTTCCTTAATATCATTAATTACCCGAGTATCTCTGCAACATATCAACAAATCATCAACAAATAAAAGAATATATACAAATACATCATTTTCAGATTTTACATAAAGACAATAATCATATTTACTTCTACGAAATCCTAGACTCCTAATATACTCGTTAAAGCACTCATACCAAGCACGAGGGCTTTCTTTCAACCCATATAGTGCTTTCTTTAATTTATACACTCGATTCGAATTATCATTATAGCCTTGTGGCTGTTTAACATAAACCTCAGACACAACATAACCATTTAAAAAGGCAGTCTCAACATCCATTTGATGAATATTTAAATTATACTGACAGGA